TAAGTTTAGTGTTGAACCAATACTTCGAAATTCGAGTAGAAGTTTGGTGTTATAACTCTGTCATTGTTAAGTTATCGCAATTGTTGAAATCACATCCCGTATAAATCATAAATCGATCAATTTAAGGCCAACAATAAGTCAATCACCCCTTAGTTAGTCTTATAAATTCCCATTGTTAAAACAATAACCAATCGCAAAGAGGACCAGATCACGTGACACGTGACCCGAAATATCGATATAAAGTTAAGGATAGTGATAATCGATAGAAACAGAAAAAACAGAAAAATCGGAGAAATCGGAAAAATCGGGAGTGGTACCACATTTGACTGCGGTAGCTCCGGGGGCAGATGCACGAATATCATATGTCAATTAAATAAATTTAATAAAAAAATTAAAATTTGCTAAGTTGAATTGAAATTATATCCAAAGCTCAAATTAATAATACGTATCATAGAGTAAGTAAAAATATCTTTATTAGTTTGGATCATATATTGACTAATTTACTAACGATTATCTATTATACATAAAAATTATAATAAAATATACATTCATTTCTATAATCGAACGACTATAAAAAAGTAACTTTAATATACGTAGATCTTATTAAAACTCTTTAGAGTTTATTCAATAAACAATAAAACAACACTTTTCTTCTTATTTTTGCTAAATCGTTACCTTTATTACTCGTTTTAGCTTACATATAATATATACCTTTTTATATACTAACTTTGTCGGGTAAATTAAATATGAAAGCTGGCGAATTAAAATGGATTAAGCGAGTATGTTATAGGGCAGCACGAAAGCTTCAAGTGTACTTAGAACACTTGGTCTGGTCAAAAGATGAGAAAAAAGTATTGTTCGTTCATAAAATTGTGTCACTTTGGTGATTTACGAAATGTGATTGGCTGATTAATAGTCAATCATCACGTGATCACGGAGGGCATAAATTTTATTGGTCATATTTTACGCAACAGGAAAAAAAAATTTACGCGATTTTTCTTTTACTTAACTTACTGGATAAACACGCGTACTTGCCATGGAAAAACGAAAATCAAATTCATTCTTCGAAAGTCCTCTTTTCAGTTTCCTTGTTCAACACGAATTATTATCAAAAACAAGTTCTATAACCTTGGAACACATATTTGCATATTATCAAAAAGAATGGCCGAACAGCGAATATTTGAAAATATACAATGCACTTTCAAAGGATTTGGATGATGCACTTGATTCAAATTTTTATAATAATGATATAGTGAGCATTTTGAAAAATATTAAGAATACTTGGAACGTAAGTATAATGCATATTTTTGTTAACTGTTTGCTTTTGTTTGTGAGGGTGGCGGGGATAGGAAGGACTGCGTGTTGCTTTCACTTATAGGGACTGCGTGTTGCCTGTAAGTGCAAACTTGAGGACTGCGTGTTGCTCGAGTTTGTAAGTCTTGGGGACTGCGCGTTGCTCAAGACCCTATGCTAACGCCATTACTCACATTTTGTTGAAGCTGATCTACTAATTACTTACTATCTTTTTGTTTTTGTAGACATGGAATAAAAAGAGATTTAAACAAACCCGTCATAACCAATTTGTAAGTATGATGTATATTTAGAATCCATTTTTTTGAATAAAATAGTTCACACATTGTCTTATTCTTTTTACAAGGATGTAAGCATTACTAAATACCAAAAAGGTATTGCCACAGTTGTTGAAATGGAAACTAACAAATGGGTTGAAGAAGCGTTAAACAATGATTGTGGTGTTTTAACATCCAATGAGAAACACATTAACACTAAAGACATACCAAAAATAATGCAAAAAAAATATCATCCAGATGTAAGATACTTTTTGCTATATTAACACTTATTTTTTTTCCGCCTTTGTATTTTGCTATTTGTTATCTTTATATATATTTTTGTTCATTTATATTTAACTGTCTATATACACATAATTAACAATTCTTGTTATTATAGAATGAGGTAGATCTCTATAATGATCAATTATACGTACATCTGAAAAATGCTTTCTAAGAAGATTTTTTTAATTTTCTATAGGAAGAAGAATATCCAAATAAGTGGGATCTTAGACCACGGAAGAAAGTGAATTATGCTGATGATTCAAGTTCTGATTCATTAGAAAATGACTTCATCTCTCAAGAAAGTACACAATATTTCACAAATATTTTAACACCAAATATAGATATCAAAATAGATGGTGACAAATCGAATAGTAGGTTAACACAAGTATGTAAGGAATTTATATACGTTATTATTAATAATTATATCAACTAAAGAACAAGAAAATGGAAATGACAAATATAGATATGATGTAGAAAACCTCAAAGAATCACATTCATCTAATGTTTTGTTATCTCCTCTTACAAATGTCTTGACCAAGACTTCTTTACAACAAACATTAAATGATTTTTCGCTATTATCTGTTTTGAGACAATATTGTATGAAAAAGAGTACCTCTCCTTATGAGTAAGTTATAATAATAAGTTAATTATACTTTTTGATTACTAGCTTATTTTTTGATTTTTCATGTAGTCCTGCTCATAGTTTCATTTTGGACTTGTCATCATCATCTAAAATACGAGGTGAATTTAGTTATGAGAAATGGTTTGAATTCTTAAAAAGAAGACCCGAAGTAGTCAAAAGAACGTACCATCATGAAATCGAACCTTTTATTCTTCACTTGTTTGAACATGATGTAAGAATATAGAATTTTAAAAGCAAAAACTTGGATCAAATTAACATTTTTTGAATCTTCTGATATCTAGATAGACTTATCTCAAGCTCGTTCAAAGTGGGCTGAACTCCAAAATGTAAATGCTCCTATATATAAAAAAGAATTTTCATATAAGAAAAATAATTGGAAAAAAATACAATGGTGGATCCAACGAGTAGTCGGGCAATTGTACGTTAAGGAATTTTCTTATTATTCTTGCGAAAAATGTCAATAATTAATCTTTTGTTTACTATTATAGTTTAGATGCCTTTGAGTCATTCCGAAATCCTCTGGAAAATGGTTGTCATGAGCGTGAGTGGACTGGAGATTATATAATTCCATTAATACAAGGTGTATTGAAATTGGACGGCAATTGTTTTGTACCATGGTAAGCTGATAAATGATAGATAAACTCATACTAATATTACTGGTTAAATACTTAAATATCGAATAATGATTTTTTATATATCTAAGGGGAGAGATTTCGGTTTTAGCCACACAAAATCGTCGTAATAACAACAAAGATATTAATACCGAAAAAGTAATTCGAGGTCGTCAGGCTGACTTTTTGTGCAAATATGAACAATATGAAATCGTTTGCGGATTAGTATGTGGTGGACCACATTTTCATGATTTAACAAAACATGCCTCCGATCAATTTTATTTGAAACAGATGATGAAAGATATGCTTGATAATTTAAGATTAAAGTTTTTTTATTCTGACAAAGATGAATTGTATACACTTGGAATACATGTATGCTTGTAATTATTAACTTTGTTTAAATTTAGATGTAAGAGTTATTTATATTTACACACATTTTACACATTTTCTTATATTATTCAGGTATATATGACAGAAGTTCGTGTTTATTTGATTGAAAAACAAGAAGTATATTTTTTTCATCATTTAAAATCTTTCAATCTTCCACTTTCATTTTCGGCTTATCATAGCCTGAAAGGTGCATTAAGAACAGCCTGGAACATTCGAGTGAGTTTTAGTTTTTTATCAGAATTGTAACAAAAATTTCAGATTGTTGTCATTCTAATTAATAAAATACTGATAATACAGGGATTAGTTAATTCTTTAATTCGAAAATTTAACATTATTGTTGACAACAATGATGGATTTAAAACTCCACCAATGCATATGTCTGATGATATGAAGACCCAATAAGCACCACCAAAACAACCAAAGGAAAAGAAAATATAGAATAGTATTATTGAGTTTAATGCAAATATTATAGTGTTTTACTGACTCGCTAAAAAAAAATTTGTAATAAAATTTAAAACATCGTGAAAAATATTTTTAATTTTTAAAACTTACATAACGAAAATACCTTATTGTTATCATAAAATGTGTTTACGTTCAAACACATTTTCAATATTTTTCTAAAAAGAACAACGTATCAATTTATTTTTATTCCATGATGGTTTTACTGTAACTCTACTAATTCTACACGTTTTTATTTTTTTTTAAAAAAAAAAAAGCAGTGGTGGTTTGCCGCTACTCTAGTTAAATATGAAATTAATTCGGGTGATAAAATTAATTACCATTGTTACTATTGTAGATTGGGAGAGCGATTAATAATATCCAGTTTAGCTCCAATAGTTAACGGGTATTGGGTAGTGATGGGTAAAATGCGCATTTTATAATAACATGCGCATGAATGCGCATGAAACGTAAAATGCGCATGATACCGCATGATATAAATTCTCTTTTTTCTGTTTCATTTCGGAAAAAAATCGTTATGTTTCTCGAATTTCAGTCGCGACCTTGCTCGTCTTTGAGGTTCATTCATTTTCTTTTCGGAAATTTTCGTAATTTTTGAAATTCCTATCCTCTAATTCCGCCCGGCATTATGCTCTCTGGCCTAAATTACGCAGCCTAACCAAACATATATAAATTCTTGATGGGCAAAAATGCGCATGAAACGGAAAATGCGCATTCATGCGCATGTTTCAGGTATCATGCGCACGCATGATACCCATCTCTAGTATTGGGTTTAATAATCTAATTACTACTGTCACGGATCCTCGTGACATTTAGTTGAGGCTTGGGCGGTCACAATAATTTTTTTTATTGTTTATTTTCTTATTTGCTCTATTCTTGTTTAATTTTTATGCGAGATAAATCTGATAAGTATAGGTTACTCACAACCATTGTAGCTCTGGGTTGTGATATTGTGCATGAATATGCACATCGGTTGTTTCAACAAGGGTAGTCCACAACACGAGAACAATTTCGAGAAACAACCTAAGGAATAAGCGCAGTAGTTATTAGTAAATGAATAATGTATATAAAGGGCTCTTTTTTTGACTTAATAAAGATCAGATTTTGATGTCTTGAATATAAGAAAGATATTAGGAATCGAATTCTCAAAGTGTTGAAATTGAAAGTTTATTAAATAATTGATTTTCTCTTATTATTTTAGTTTGCTTTTATTAAAAACCATTTCGCTTTGCTTCGTTAATAAACTGATACGTTTAAACTCCCGAATCACACAATTATTACCCATAGTTTAGTTAACCCCGACTCAGATTAAATTGATCAGTGACCACATGATTAAATGCATCAATATTAATTGGCTGATCTACCTCGTTAAGTTAATCACCCAATAACCCCGATTAAGGATGTTAAATAAAAAGGAAAAGCAGTAAAAAGAAAACTTGCAGCTATGCTATCTGTAAACCAAATGATTATACCATATACTTCTCAACAATTCTTTGACCAACTTGTAAATATAACCAATAGACAATTATTAGCAATAAACTATAAATTTAGTAGAGCTGTTACTGAAAAGCTTAGAAAGCTTATAACTAAAAAAATACTTGTATCTGAAAGTACTGATAAAAAGAATACTAAGGATCTTTCTGATGATAAAAATAATGAAAAAGCATCTGAACAGTCAACTATCTCAACAATCAATAATGGTAACCTTGAGTTTATGAAATATAATAATAGACAACCTAGTAGAAGTTTAATCAATATAAATGTAAACAAAGCAATTGAGAAAAAATCTACTTCTTTATACTGTGATGCTACTATTAAACATATTAAATTCTATCTTATTGTTGACTCTGGATCAGCTAAAAGCATAATATCTCTTAATCTATTAAAAAACCTAGATATGAAAATAACTCAAGCCTCTAGGATAGTTATAATTAATGTAAATAGTGAATGTTATTGATCTCTAGGAGCAGTCTCTAATATACTCTTAAAATTAGTAAACAAATAATCCTTTTTGATGCTATAATTACTGAGTCTAATTCCTATAGTGCAATTGTAAGAAATAATTAGCTAAGGAAAACAAAAATAAATATAAATTACAAGAATAACATTATGACTATATACTAGAATAATATAGTAATCATTAGAAAATCAATTTTTACATTATAAAGTTAGCATTGAAGTCTCTAAAATGCAAAAGGATAAACAAATAGTAGAAAATGAAATAGTGGAATCAGATAATGAGAAAGAATATGAAAAGGATTTTGATTTTAGTAAAAGTTTATTTTGCTATACTGAGGAAGAAGCTATAAAAATTGAACAAGAAATCTATAAATAAGTTTATAATAAATTAAATATTGAACTATACTATAACAAACCTAAACTAATGTCTAAAAATAAACTAAAGAAACTAAATAAAGAAAATATAATATAGATGAATTGGAGCTTCAGAATAAACAAATATTTTTAGAATTTATAAAAGGATATGATAATTTATTTATCTAAAAACTCTATAAATTTGGAAAGACTAAAGCTATAACTCATACTATCTCTATAAATACAACATCTATTAAACAAAACTTCTACTAAACCTCATATAAAAATTAGCAATTCATTAAGAAAAAAATTTAGAAAATACTAAAGTATAATCTAATTGTACCTAATAAAAGTCTTTTTTTTTTTTTTAAGGTAGCTTACATTGCTAGACAATTTTTATTAGTTTGATATATGAGATTACATATGGGCAATCTTTACAGTTTGTAATTATATAAAGAGTGTATAATAAGCCACTTATACAACTTTAGTTATTATCTAATTTAAGTAGTTTGCTATACAGGTAATAGACTATCTGATTAGTTCTATACTATGCTACTATACCTGTAACCCACCTATGAGTTACCTATTTAAACTCTCTGTTCAACTAACCTATACTGTTATAAACTAATGTTACTGTAACATCTAATTACTTAAGCTAACTAGCTCATTACAGATCTATTTTTTGACTTCAGCTTAGGTCTTCTTAGGATGTTTATTGCTTAATATATTGTGAGCCTGCAGAGCTCCAGTTAACTTCGAAGCATATCTACTAGAGCAGTCTCTGCCTATTTCACAAATTCACCTAGCTTAGACCCTTATAGATATTCATACAACTCCAGTTTCTACTATAGCTCTCTACTGGTTTTCTATTTGCTGATTTCTTCAGATGTTTCACAAAGTAGATCCTCCCAATCCAGTTAGCTGCTAAGCCAAGTTGGTGTTGCTGATCCTCTTTGTAGAATAAACTTACTCGTACCTCTTTTTATTTATATTTTCAAAATATAGTTTCTTTTTAGAATCAAGTGTTAGCTAGTATGACCATTGAAAGCTACACTACTTCACCTACTTAAGATTTCTACTATGCAAGTTCTTTGCTTGTAGATCCTATCAAGATTTATTTGTATAATGTTATGTCTTACCAAATACCTCATCATACTTCCAATATCCAAATGATATTAGTGCAATATGATTTACAGGATTACAATACCAGAAATGAACAGAGTTTACTGTAAGTTAGATACAAAGATTCAGATAATTATTAAAATTTATCAACAGTAGGATTTGAACCCCAGACCTCTTGTATAATAGTCTAACAACTAAACCACTATACTAAGATTGCCAGACCTCCTAGTAAAAGTCTTTGAACTTCTCCAGTTGTAATAGTTGATAAAAAAAAATAGAAAACAATAATTTTGTATAGACTACTGTAAATTAAATGCTACAACCAAAAAGAATAACTACTTCTTTTCTTGAATTGATAATCTATTAAAAGCTCTAAAATACTCTAAATAGTTTACTAGTTTAAATATAGCTAGTAAATATTGGCAAATACTCATAGAACCTTAGAACTAGGAAAAAACTACTTTTATAACTCAGTTTGATACTTATGAATTTATAGTCATATCTTTCAAGTTATATAATATACTAGCAATATTTCAAAAATTAATGAATATAGTCTTAAGAAACTTGCTCTGGAACTTTGTAGTAGTTTACTTAGATGACATTAATATTAAATCAAAAATATTTGAATAATATTTGAAATATCTTAAACAAATGTTTAAATACCTCAAAGATACTAGTTTAAAGTTAAACCCTAAAAAATGTTTTTTTTTTTAAGCAAAAGTTACTCTTTCTTAGCTATATAATCAGTGAAAAAGATATTAAAACTGATTCTTCTAAAATACAGACTATATAAAACTATCTTATCCTTCAAAACACTACTCAACTCTAAGAATTCTTAGGCCTTGTATTCTACTATCATAAATTTATAAAAAGTTTTTTTAAAATAGCTAAATTCTTAAATAAACTTCTCAAAAAGAAAATAGATTATATCTAGACTACTGATTAACAAAATACTTTTCAAAAATTAAAGAACTGCTTAACAACCTCACCTATACTCACCTACTCTAACTTTGAGAAACTATTCTTGATCTATATTAATGCATCAACTATTGCCTTAGAAGCAATACTCTCTTAAAAAGATAAGAATAATAAGAAGTATATAATAGCCTATACTAGTTGAACTTTAAACTCTTACAAAAAAAATTATTCAATTACTGAACTAGAATGCCTAATAGTAATTTAGTCTATTAAACATTTTCATCATTATTTGCATAAGCAAAAATTTACTATTATCATTAATTACTCTATATTAACTTACTTCAAAAATATAACTAACTCTACTAAATGCTTCAGATATTGAATAATAGCTTTAAATAAATATGATTTTGATATAATTAATTGATTTAAATATATATACTTTTTTTTTAATTTTTCTACTGCTATAGCAGTTAGAGGCACAGTTGGTACTTTTTTATTAAGAGATTATAAATAAACTATAGCTATATACATTTTAGATATTTACATAAAACTCTATTAGCTTTAAACTTATTATTAGAAGTGTAAAATTT